TTTAACGCGAGAAATTTTTCGCACAATAATTTTTTATGACTTTCGATGTCATTTAAGTCAACAAGAAAGTTATGATAGATTTCGATTGGCCTTTCACGATGAAACCCCATCTCGTGCCACTGTTTACAACTGGTTTACTGAGTTTAAGCGTGGTCGCATTAAACTCACTGATGATCTGCGTGTGGGACGGCCTTCTACGGCGACGACTGAAGATAACATCAGTGATGTGCGGCGTATGATAGAAACTGATAAAAGAGTGACTTATCAGCAGATCGGAACAAGCTTAAGCATTGGTATGAGTCAAGTGCACAAAATCCTCCATGAACATTTAGCGGTCAGGAAGCTTTGTGCCCGGTGGATACCTCATAATTTGACAGAGGCCCAAAAACTCCGTCGTGTTGATTGGTGAAACGGTTCAGATTTAACGGAGGTGACTAAAATGGTATGTTCGACACACGGAGTAAATACAAAGAGGTGTTGTAATTAGATTTCATTATGTAACAACGCGTGACAATTTGCGGGGTGAGGGGATATTAAACCCCGCCCACTTTAACATTTTCCATCTACCGATAAATAGTAAAACTACTCGTATCGTTCCATATCGATGTTGCAATGTAGTTTAGCTACCTTGACGATAGATGATTATAAAAACTATAAAAATAATATTTTGGCGATTAAAACTTCCTTAGGAGTAAATTGAAAACAAATTTCAACACCGTATGATTATTTTACCAATACTGAGTTCTACGTACCTTTATATTTTTAGTTACCATGACACTGTCGAATATATTAAATTACATTGGAAAGCCGACGCTGTGATTTTTTTAGAACCTGTTTAATAAATTAGGTATAAAATTACTTACAAATGAAATGTGATGCAATGCATAGCATCAGTGTCTGTTCACGCCCTTAGCTGCCCCGACAAAGGTCGACTGGACCAGGGCTCATGAGTGATCCCCTCGACGGGCAACAGAGAGCGGGGCCCAAATGGCCTATGGATAAATGTTCTAAAACGGCTGACAAATAAGCAAGCACAACTTACCGATTTCCGAAGGTAGGTTTGACAACAGGGTACCAGTCAGGTGGTAAGTGATGTGCATGTAAATAGTGTGTAGTAGTGTGTACAATGTAACCTGACTTAACCGTTGAAGTCGGACCGCAGATCCACAAGCGCTGCTTCTCTCCAAAAGTGAGATCCCTCAAGGGGGGCGTTCACCAATTGAAAACTTCTGCCCTTACTTCACTGTATTAGTCCATCAACTCCACTGTACATTTAATTAACTTCTTGAGTCACAAAGTTCAGCGTTCTCCCGAACAAGCCAAATTCTTTCGTACGATATTAAAATGCCACAAAGCAACTAGTCGAATCAAATTAATGTCAATCAAGGTTAAGTTAATAATTCAAACTCAATACAAGCCTGGTCGCAAACAATACTCAAAACGGTTACAATAAAATTATATGAGATCCGCCGCGTTGTCACACAAAAATGCACGAGATTAAACAATGTCAACAAAGGCACTTAACGCGACGTTACTATTCAATATTAACTTCCAAAGCAATTAACCGGCAGACCGCCGCGCGACAATTATTTTTCTAGACTTTACTCGCCCCGGTGTACGCGCACAATTAATCTATATCCAACACGAAGCGAGTTCCTCTCAGGTCACACATTTTTAGCGTTTCAAAACTCAAAAGGACCTCTTGTCACTTAAAGCACGAAAGACAATCAATAAGAGGCGTTTGTCACGCGGCCGACCGCTTCGCACGCAACCGTCACACTGAAAAAGGGTGCGGTCGCCCGATGCGACGCGCGCGCGCAACAGTCCCAGGCGGTGACCTCTAAATTCCATCGGAGGACATGCAGCGCGTGCATCTTGACGCAAGTTTTTAAAATAGTACGATTTTGGCCTAAACAGTGTCTATCTAAATAGTTTTTACACGATAAAACACAACACTTCATCCTTATCTTTTCAACACAACGAAAATACATCGATTTGCGATTTTTGACACATAAGCGCACAGGACGAACGCTGACAGCATACTAAGTAAAGCCACGCCCACTGTGATGACGTCAGGACCTAGTTAGAATCACAGTGCACAGTTGCTTATGACATCTTCTTTTTGCATTTGCTTCGTGGTTCGACATACTTATTGGTGACGAAAGCTGAATTTATTGTTATAATCCTGGAACTAGGAGCCAGTCTGCTGTCTGGGTGTTTCCTTCCGAGGAGTTGCCAACTAAAGTGAAGAGAGGTCGAAGCGTGGGAAAAAAAGATGGTGGCCTCGTTCTTCGGAAGGACAGGTCATTACGCAACATTTGTTTTAGAGGACCGAGAAACAGTTACTGCAGAGTGGAACACTAACAATTGTTTGCCACTTGTCTTGGAAAAAGTTCGGGAGAAACGACCTCGCAGTAGGATTCTCCTTCACCGCGACGCCTCGTCGCACACCGCCAAGCATACAATCGACTACTTGGCGGCGCCAGACGTGGAATTACTGGGTCACCACCGCCCGCCGCCCTATAGCCCCGACCTCGCACCTTCTGATTATTATTTATTTCCGACAATAAAAGAAAAACTTCGAGGAAAACTTTTATGGACGCCGAGGAAACAGTAGCTGCGTTTCAAAATGGCGTCGAAGAGACCCCTAAGGACGAGCGCGCCAAGTGCTTTTCTCAGTGGTTCCATCGGATGTAGCGATGTATTAATAATCTAAATGGACACAATTTTGAAAAAATATAATAAAAGTAATAATTTGCTAATTTGTTCAGTTTTTGATTTTCTAAGAACTTTCGGTGTCACCGTCGTACAATAATCTATGATAAAAACTAAAGTTACAGCCTGTACATATATGTACATCATACAGCTGGGCCCCGTTATCTTCTCTTTTCTAAAAGAGGGTTAATTCTAATTTGCCTTTAGCCTTGATCGACAAGCGTGGTAAGCCTCTATAAAATTGAACCAAAGTACCCACCCATACATACCATATACTGAGTTTAGACTATCAGTTATAAAGGTAGGTACTAACAATCCATAATACTATAAAAAATAAGCGCATACATACATATCCTGCTAAAATAATATCGTTTTGACTTTATCGTAGTTGGGCAAAAACTACAGAATTGTACTGCTATTTCACGTTGGTATTGTGCGATGGTGTTTATTCCCAGGTCAAGCCGACCTATACGGGTTGTTGCGTGACTTTACCACCGATAAATTGTAGGAATCCAATTCTAGTAGCTCCTATACAAGCGACACCAGCGCTACCCCGTTCAGAAAAGCCATCGTGTAACTTCCATTGCAGCTTATAAGTCTACGGCTGAACAGCATAACCCAAAGACTGCCTAATAGGGGGGAGATTTTGCCATAGTTGCCATGGCAGTCGGGTTAGTAAGTTTTTTATAATTTTGTGTTATTGTCAGAAAGATGTTGCTGCCCATCTCCTGTTTCGATTTCCCTCAGTCGACTCTTACGACACCCACGGGACGATATGTGGTAGTGGACATTCTTACACCGCCACTCTTACTCCACACGGTGATCGTGTAACTTATGTAAATAAAAACGCATGTCGTTCTCATAATAAATATTATTTAAACATCCCACATATATTCTAGTTATAATGTACAATAGAGGCGGCCTCGGTGACGAATACAAATCAAAATAATATTCATAGAGAAACATTATCAAACATATAGGTAAAAATTGCACTGTCCTCGAGACAACGTTTTTAACGCAAGCTAAACAATATTATTATACAGAACAGAACAAATCTATCAAATAAAAGATCCTTACTCCGCAACTTGATTCATCATTAAAGAAGAACAATAATTATTCTAGTTATTAAGGTAATTGGGCTAGCAAAAAAGGCAATAACATATGGATTATATGCATCATTTTCAAATCATCACTAAAAATTGAATACGGATAAATATTCAATAAATTCATTCGTTCGATAAAATGTAATTACTAATTACACATTAAAAGCAGAAATTGTAACTTTATTTACACTAGCAAATTGATTGCTGTCAATTTTGACACATTTTAACGCGAAATATAAATAAAAAATTAATTTGATTTTTACAAATAATTTACTAATAATAAGAGGCGATAATTTAATAAGATTGATACAGTTAATGAAATATGAAACTCCACGTTAAAAAAATCTTAATATCACCAAGTTATGGAGTAAGATATACTCAGCGTGACATTATGGGCGTAGCCAATATAATTTTTTTCAGAGCACAGACTATACTCTGTTGAACCAAAGATATTCTAATATCTTTGATTGAAGCACTGCTTGACTGAAGGCGTTAGCATTTTTTTTGTAAAGGAGACATTTAAGAAGTTATAAAGGGGCATTACATTTTAGGGCACCCCCTTTGCCCCTTCCCAGCTAAGTCCATATTAATCATAAAGCCCTACCAAATATAAGTGTATAATAAAACGCAAATCATAAACAAAAAATCGTTATCCAATCATGTGTATTTTATTTATAATGATCTAATCTGTGACAATATTCCTTTACTTGAACCGACAAAAACAACAACTTAATAAACTTTACTGCTAATCAAGGCAAAAGATAATTGTCACTAAACTAATTGTAAGACAAAGATATGTGTACCATTTATCAATTTAACACAGATGTATAATTTAAGTCAATCAAGTACCTACTAAATGGGAAAGTAGCAAATGAGAAAGATACAGAATTACAGAAGTAGTAAGGAAATGGGCGGTTCTACTATATTTCAAAGACATATTAGACATTGAAACGTAAAACATTTTTGGTAAATGTATTAACTTATATTATTTGCTACCAATATAAACCTATTTAATTGCAAATGCTATATTATATACAAGGAATTTAAGGACATACATAAAAAACGTCGGCTATTCATAATTTCAAGTTGTTTTTTTTTAAAATTATTTTTTCTTACTATTAGAACCGCCCGTACCTATAAACAAGCACGTTAGTTGTACAGTGTGTCGGCATGACCTTGTGTTCAGAGAGCGAGCGCTGCGGAACGCTTGTCGCGACTTTTGTTGCGCGCCAGCGTTCTTGCCTTGCATGCTGCGTTATTCTGCAAATGCTGTAAAAATATTTAGAGATTTATATAATTTATTGGAGACAAGCTTTAAAAGGAAATGCTGCTGTAGTATAGAAGACCGCCAGAATATATAGACGATGATGAGATTAACCTTGGTTAATCTCTTACTCGTACGCATAAAGAAAGACCATGACACAATGTATAAAGTGTGAACTGTAAGAGTAAGATTAGGAAAGGAGGCCTTAGCACGAGCAGCAATTAATACTAAAGAACAGTGCGTGTAAGCGTGTACAGTGCGCGTGTGCGTGTGTGTACAGTGCCCGTGTGCGTGTACAGTGTGCGTGTACAGTGCGTGTATGTGTATAGTGCGCGTGTACAGTGCGTGTATGTGTACAGTGCGCGTGTACAGTGCGTGTATGTGTACAGTGCGCGTGTACAGTGTGTGTATGTGTACAGTGCGCGTGCACTCACCCGCTGCAGCTTGTCGAGGCGGCGCGGCGGCGCGTGCAGCGGCGCGGCGGCGGGCAGCGCGAGCGCGTGGCGCAGCGGCGCGCAGTGCGGCGCGAGCGCGCGCAGGCCGGCGCCCAGCGCGCCCGCCAGCGCGCCGTACGCCGCGCGCGCGCCCCACGTCTCGCACGACACGCACTCTCCGCCCACGCGCACGCGCAGCTCCGGCACCTCGTCCTCCTGCACCACGCCACCACTCGTTACACACACTGCACTTGCCACAATGACGGATTTGATCGTGAAAGGAAAAAAAAGATCTACCGCTGAGCAAGGTATTCTGCCCGGGGAACAGGCGACGCTTCGTGTACTTAGCTATTCTGCGCAGTACTTCGAAACTTTGACAACGCAATTTAGGCTTCGGTGCGTTTCACTTGTAGCACGACAATAGCGTCGCTACAGAATCTTTAGATGTAATCATCATCATCATCATTACAGCCCTCCAAAAGTCTACTGCTGAACATAGGTCTCCTCCATGGAACGTCACAAGCCACGGTCCTGAGCCACCTGCATGTCTTACCAGGTTATCACTCCATCTAATGGGATGTCGCTCTACACTTCGCCTACCGATACGAGGCTGCCACTCGAAAATCTTTTTTCCCCATCGGTTGTCGGTTCTTAAAGCTATATAGCCGGCCCATTGCCACTTCAGCTTACTAATTCGTTGGGCCATGTCAATCACTCTGGTTCTATTGCGGATATCCGCATTTCCAAGTTTATTATGCAGAGAAACCTCAAGCATATCCCTCTCCATAACTCGCTAAGCCACCTTGAGCGTCCTCATACGGCCAGCAGTGAAGGACCACGACTCAGTTCCATAAGTCATCACAGGCAACACTCACTGATGGTACAGTCTCGTTTACAAATTTTGAGGTATACCTGACGAGAAGATGTGTTATAATTTCCCAAACGCTGCCCAGCAAAGATTAATCCGTCAATTGACCTCTTGATTGATCGAATTAGAACTTACCTCTAGTCGGACTATTTGTCCCAAGTAAATATGCTCGTCGACAACTTCGAGATTAATGCTCCCAACAATAACGGGCATAAGTGTAATATAGATGTTACACATAATCTTAGTTTTATCCATGTTTACCTTAAGACTTATCCGTTGGGAGGCACTATTGAGGTCATTGAGCATAGAGCTTAGATCCTCCAGCAATTCTGCCATAAGGACTATATCGTCGAGAAATCGAAGGTGAGTGATGTACTCGCCGTTGATGTTTGTTAATACCGTATCCTTTCCAGTGCAGAAGCTTAAAAACGTCTTCCAATACAGCGGTGAAGAGTTTCGGGGATATAACGTCACCCTATCTTACACCTCTCTGCTGGATAGGTTTCGTATTCTGGTTCTGTACTCGGATAGCCATCGTATCCCTACTGTACAAACACTTCGATATACCAGTCAACTTGGCACCGCTGAAAGTACTGCAGCACCGCCCAAATTTGGACGTAATCAAAGGCTTTTTCATAGTCTACATACGCAAGACAAAGTGGCAGATTGTACTCTTTGGTATTCTATACAATCTGCGGAAGGGTATGTATGTGGTCTATGGTGCTAAAGCCTTTTCGGAAACCGGCTTGTTCTTCGAGTCTGCATGCGAGACAATTCGTAATGACTCTCGAAAACAGCACGTAGACGCGTCTCAAAATTAAATCGGTCTGTAGTTCTTCAAAAGAGCGTTGTCGCCTTTTTTGAACAGCAAGACCACCGTACGTGCCACCATGTAGGACGGAATTAAAGAGCTTTTGAAGTACCGGTTTTCCACCCGCTTTCAGAAACTCCGCTGTAATTCCATTTTCGCCTGGGGCCTTGGCGTTTTTAAGGTGCTGGAGAGCCATTCTAATCTCACTCAGACTGACGCCCGGAATATCATCCGAATAGTGGAGGATAAGACTTGCTCTTGGATCGTTAATCACACTTGCTGTGGCTACAACGATGACGTGTACAGCTGCCCATAGAACCTCTCAATCTCACTCAAAATCTCAGGTGTCGGAAACGATGCTGCCACATTCGGCCTTCAGCTTCGACAGTTGGTACTTTCTGGCAGACAGATCTCTGACAAAGACTTTGGAGCCGTGGTTCCGCTCGATCGCTTCTTTAATACAAGATGTATTGACTTGCATAAATCCCGTAGAATGCGTTTGGATATCTGTTTGTACAGTTGCTTGTATGCTGTCAAATCTGCTGAAGACTGCAGCTTTATTTTCCGTTTAACAGCCATGAGATTAAGTGTTTTTGTGTGTGTAGGTGGTGTGCGTACAACTTTTTTATCTTTGTACGAAGTACAGTGTACTACATTGTGTGTATAAATCGTACTCCGCATTATAGTTGAATAAAAAGTTAGTTCCAATTCGTTCCAAGTAAAATCCCAAACACTATTCACAAACAATGTTTAGCGCGCATTTGTATATTAAAATATAAAAAATTAAAGTGGTAAAAATAAACATTATTACACGAATATGCTAAAAGCATCAAGAACAAGACAGATAACACGCACATAGTCTGTATAGTATGATGGTCCTTCGAGCCGGATGACAAGGACAAGAGCCTGAAAAGTCCTAGTACTTAAGATGAAACATACCGTCTGTTCCCGGCTATATTCCCGCGAGATGGCACTGAAGTCATCATTTTTTAGTTTATTTGAGTTTTTGTGTAATTGGAACATTATTAAGTCGTAGAAGTAGCAATCGCGATACTCGGACATTGTACTTTATTTTACTAGGTCATATCATTGCCCCAAAATCCACACAATTCAACACAAAGTCCGAAAATAATATCTGTCATTGAATATACTGTAGTTTACACACACTGACGTGGGTGAATTCTTAGTCCCTACATTTACGAAAATGGAACACTAGATGGCGTGAATGAAAAAAATGTTTTCCTTTTTTCTGTATGGGTAGGCAGAACTACAGAACACCACCTGCTACGATATATATTATGTACGATTCATCATCTGCCTAGCCTTTTTCCCAACTATATTGGGGTCAGCTCCCAGTCAAACCGGATTCAACTGAATACCAGTATTTTACGATTATGTTATATAAATAAAAGTTATATTTGTAAAATGAGCCGTGGTAACTCAGATGGTTAGCACTCGCTGTAAGTTTCACAGTACGCGAGAAACCCGGGTTCGATCCCCGCCGGCACCAATGAAATTGTTAATTGCAATTTTAAGCGTTGATTTACCACGTGCTCGACGGTGAAGGAAAACATCGTGAGGAAACCTGCATGTCTGACAAATAAGAAACAAATATATATATTTCGAAGACATGTGAAGTTCGCCAACACGCATTGGAGCAGCGCGGCGGACCTTTCCTTGCCCTAAAACCCCCTCAGAAATGAGAGGAGGCCTGTGCCCAGCTGTTGGACGTGTATAATAATAATATATAATAATATAGGCTGTAACTTTAACTTTTTTTAACTTATATTTGTAGGCGTAAATAAACTATTTAATTCAATAATAATCTTGGAAAATAAATTATCTCAACACTAAGAACAATAAAACGCAGTTTTATTTTATAACCTTACAATATTGAAATTAATGATCAAAACAGTATTTGAAGTAACACGCCTGATACACGCCTATTCACTCAAAACTAATAACACATGATTTGCAACATAACCAATTATTACGTAAATTTGACATACGTAGTGTGAAATTTGCAGTGAGCGCTAACCATCTGAGCTACTATGACTCGTATACATGTTTACCAATTTTTAAATAATATACTTACATTTATTTCTATTCTATTTTTATAAAGTTTAATATTTATAATTATTTTATTGATAAACATTTTATTAATAAATAAATAATTGTTAATCTAATAACCATAATAAAACAAAATTAATATTAAATACATAACCATTATCATCATCTGTATATCAATATTATACTAAAAAATAAAATTATTATAATAGATTATTGTTATTATTATTATTAGAACAAATAACTGTTTTTTAGTTCATTACAACTGCAGTTTACCTCTTCCACTCGGACTTTGGTGAATATACGTAAATAAACAGACAAACGGAGGGAAAGAAACCAGGATATAGGCAACAGCATCTCCTAACTAAAAAATATAATATTAAACTGCGGTTGTCAACCCACCCGACAATTATTCCCCTGAGACAATCTATGGAGGAAGCTTAAGTTCAGCAGTTTTAAACGGTGGTAGAGCCTTGCAGCAGCTTTTGCTGTTGCACGTATGGGCCGGCTCGAGCCGGGTTAGTACCACGACCTCACAGAATACCGGCGTGAAGTGGAAGCTCTGCTTCCGCGTTTCGTCTGGTGAGTGCAGGTGACCGGATGCCCAATTCCCCCCCCCCCCCCATCAACATGGTAGCGGAATCACGTCAAAAACTACCCCAGGAGGGTACCAGTACCCCTGGAGAATCCCTCGCTGAGCATCCACGACCATGCTATTCCACTCCTGAGCGTGGGTGCTCAGGCTGCCCCGCGTATTCTGGGGGGGGGCAAAATTCCGCTCAACACAATAACTGCTCGGGGCAAACTGAGCAACAAGACCAAGGCGACCCCTGCCACGCTATCCGTGAATTTCTGCAACATCAGGGGACTTCACTCGAACCTAAACGCCGTCCACTACCATCTTGAGACGGCGAAGCCGGCCTTGCTCTTTCTGACCGAGACGCAGGTGTCCTCTCCGGCTGATACTTCGTATCTCTCCTACCCGGGGTACAAATTTGAGCACTCCTTTGTGCCTCGGGCTGGAGTTTGCGTGTATGTCAGAGAGGACATCTGTTCTCGACGCCTCGGCAGTCTTGAAGGTTCGGACCTGTCCATCCTTTGGCTACGCGTAGACAGCGACGACCATCCGCGCGTCTACGTGTGCCTCTATAGGTCCCATAGCGGTAATGCCGAAACAGACCGACTCATCGACCACGTCCAAATGGCTACAGATTCCTTACTACAACAGGTCCCATCCGCAGAGATCGTGATCCTTGGCGATTTTAACGCCCACCACGCCGAATGGCTCGGTTCACGTTTAACCGATCATGCGGGGAGATCTGTTTATGACTTTGCCTTGGCATATGGTCTTACACAACTGGTTACATCGCCTACGCGGATTCCAGATGTTGAGGATCATACACCTTCCCTGTTGGACCTTCTGCTGACCTCTCATCCGGACGGATATCAGGTTTCCGTCGATGCCCCTCTTGGCTCTTCGGACCATTGTCTGATCCGGAGTGTGGTGCCACTCACGCTCCCCTCGCGGTTGCGTTCTGCAGGTTGCCGCCGTGTTTGGCATTACAGGTCGGCGGATTGGGACGGAATGCGGTCTTTCTTTGCTTCCTACCCATGGGGGCGGGTTTGCTTCTCGCCGGATGATCCCAGCGCTGTTGCTGACTCTGTCACTGATGTAGTGCTACAGGGAATGGAACTATTTATTCCATCATCTGTGGTACCCATCGGAGGCAGATCTCAGCCTTGGTTTGGTCGCTCCTGTAAGACTGCATTACGCAGTAAGCAGGAGTGTTATCAAGCCTGGGCTGCGGCTTCGGTGACTCGGGATGTAAACACCAGCACATTCAAAAAGAAGTATAACTTCGCCTCCAGGTCCTTCAAAAGAGTTATTGCCAAGGCAAAGTCAGAGCACATAGGCAGAATTGGCGAGAAACTAGTTCGCCTTCCTTCGGGAACCCGTGCATTCTGGTCTCTCGCCAAGGCTGTCCAAGGGAATTTCTGTAAGCCATCACTACCATCTCTGCACAGGGAGGACGACTCACTGGCCCACGACGCAAAAGAGAAGGCCGACCTTTTAGGCTCCCTTTTTGCGTCCAACTCGACTGTTGATGACGGGGGGAACACACCGCCGACCATCCCGCGGTGTGAGTGCTCCATGCCGGATGTGCGATTCTCACAGCGCTCGGTTCGCAGAGCACTCCTCTCCCTTGACATCCACAAGTCGAGTGGGCCTGACGGAATCCCCCCAATTGTGCTGAGGACGTGTGCTCCGGAGTTGGCACCGGTTCTAACGCGTCTTTTCCGGTACTCCTACTCCCTAGGCGTAGTCCCGAAATCATGGAAGACAGCTTTTGTCCACCCGATCCCTAAAAAAGGCGACCGCTCAGATCCGTCCAACTACAGGCCTATCGCCATCACCCCCTTGTTCTCCAAAATAATGGAATCCGTTATAAACTGCCACCTCATGCGGTACCTTGAGGATCACCAGCTGATTAGTGACCGCCAGTACGGTTTTCGTCGGGGTCGATCAGCTGGTGATCTTCTGGTCTACTTAACTCATAGATGGGCGTTGGCAGTAGAGTCCAAGGGGGAGGCATTGGCCGTTAGTTTGGACATTGCGAAGGCCTTCGATCGGGTTTGGCACAAAGCGCTTCTTTCGAAGCTCCCTTCCTATGGGCTTCCCGAGAAATTATGCAATTGGATCACCAGCTTTCTTGCAGATCGGAGCATCAAGGTCGTTGTAGACGGTGCATGCTCCGACTACAAGCCTATTAACGCTGGTGTTCCACAAGGCTGCGTGCTATCACCAACGCTGTTTCTTCTGCATATCAATGATATGTTGCAAGCTGGTAGCATTCATTGCTATGCAGATGACAGCACTGGTGATGCTCTATACACCGGCCGTGCCAATATTTCTCGGGAAAACGTCACCGAGTACCGGAACAAACTTGTGTCTGAAGTCGAGTCTTTGCTGGACAAAGTCTCGGATTGGGGGCGACTAAATCTAGTCCAGTTTAATCCTCAGAAGACACAAGTTTGCGCGTTTACCGCTAAAAAGAACCCCTTTGTCGTATCTCCTCAGTTTCAAGGTACTCCCCTTGTTGCCTCAGCCAGTATCGGAATCCTCGGCGTCGACATATCGAGTAGCGTGCAGTTTCGTGGTCACTTGGAAGAGAAGGCCAAATTGGCCTCTAAAAAGCTTGGCGTGCTCAGCAGAGCGGGACAGTATTTCATGCCGGCTCAACGCCTGCAACTTTACAAGGCGCAGGTTCGGCCTCACATGGAATACTGTTCCCATCTCTGGGCTGGGGCTCCCCAGTGCCAGCTTCTTCCACTTGACCGCATCCAGCGCAGAGCGGCTCGAATCGTCGACGACCGAGTCCTTTCCGATCGGCTCGACTCATTGGCACTGCGAAGAGATGTTGCATCTCTTAGCATTTTCTTTCGCATTTACCATGGGGAGTGCTCTGAGGAATTGTTCGGATTAATCCCAGCCGCCAAATTTCACGAACGCACATCGCGGCAGAACTCCCGATACCATCCACACCATCTGGATGATTGGCGGTCCACCACTGTGCGATTTAGAAGATGTTTTCTTCCTCGCACAACTTCCTTGTGGAATAGTTTACCACCAGCGATTTTTCCGGACCGATACGACTTAGGGACCTTCAAGAAAAGAGCCTACTCCTTTTTAAAAGGCCGGCAACGCATCTGCAATTCCCCTGGTGTTGCGGTTGTTCATGGGCGGCGGTAGTCACTTACCATCAGGTGAGCCGCATGCTCGTTTGCCCCCTCTCCTATAAAAAAAAAAAAAAAAAAGTGGACTTCTAATAGGCTGTAACAGTAAATGAAAGAAACAAAAATAGGAGTGCACTGAGTGAAGAGGTGCAAATACGACTAAATCTTAGATCGATATGCTAGGTACTTTACGTAAAACGGAAAAGATAAAAAGGTGTGTAAAAATTTTTTTTTCACCATTCGCCTATATTACTTATTTTGGACCTTCTACGCAAATTTAGCCATATATTGCAAAATAATCCTATATAGGAAAGGTAACGCCGTCTTTTTGTAAATATGACGGCAGATTTCTTTAGCAGCAAAATATTGAAAAATTCGGCATTTTGTAGGACGTCGATTCAGTCACGCAAGTAGATTTAGTCTAAATAGCAGTGCGGTTGCAACTAGTTTTAACGTACGCATATATCGGACTTATATTTTGACAGAGGATAACGCCTGCGTATGGTTACTTCCCTCCGGTCCACCGGTGGAACGTGTTGTACTATTGTTTGAATAAACCATTACTAAAGAACACACGCCTTTTTGTCAATATCAAGTAAATCGAACGGTGTATCTTAACTACAACAACCCCTACACAAAGTGACAAGCTACTCACCTCGAAGTACTTGAGTATGTCGCGGAAGGTGGCCCGCTGCACTTTGCGGTCGCGCTTGGCCCTGTACTTGTGCGAGTCGCGCGCTAGCTGCTCCAGCACCGGCAGCAGCTCCTCCTCGGGCCAGGCCGTGTCCTCGTCGGCCGTGCGCTCGTGCGCGATCACTATCGCCCCACCGGCCGCCATGCGCACCTGTTCAATATTCAACAATAAAAATTAGTAAGCGCATTTTTAATGGTTATGTCTGGCACTGGCGTTGAATTTAACGAGGTTAATGGCGGTGGTGGAGAACCTTCTGCAAAAAGACCTATGACCAGTAGTGTGATGTGATGTATGTGCTGTTCTTTTTTTAAACTAAACTTCATAATTTTTTCTTCTTAATGAATAAGTAAGCCGTCCCACATATTACACATGGGTTTTTCTTATTGCTAACTAAGATTTAGCGAAGTCAATACGCTAGGAGGACTGGCTGTCAATCTAAAGTGAACTCTACGTGTACGTATATAAAGCAGTGGGTCGTACGTCGAGGCTGGCGGCGGCGAGCAGCTGCGCGAGGCGCGCGGGCGAGGGCGCGTGCGCACGCAGCAGCGCGGCCGCGTGCGCCGGCTCGGCCAGCTGTCAATCTAAAGTGAACTCTACGTGTACGTATATAAAGCAGTGGGTCGTACGTCGAGGCTGGCGGCGGCGAGCAGCTGCGCGAGGCGCGCGGGCGAGGGCGCGTGCGCACGCAGCAGCGCGGCCGCGTGCGCCGGCTCGGCCAGCTGTCAATCTAAAGTGAACTCTACGTGTACGTATATAAAGCAGTGGGTCGTACGTCGAGGCTGGCGGCGGCGAGCAGCTGCGCGAGGCGCGCGGGCGAGGGCGCGTGCGCACGCAGCAGCGCGGCCGCGTGCGCCGGCTCGGCCAGCTGTCAATCTAAAGTGAACTCTAGGTGTACGTATATAAAGCAGTGGGTCGTACGTCGAGGCTGGCGGCGGCGAGCAGCTGCGCGAGGCGCGCGGGCGAGGGCGCGTGCGCACGCAGCAGCGCGGCCGCGTGCGCCGGCTCGGCCAGCTGTCAATCTAAAGTGAACTCTACGTGTACGTATATAAAGCAGTGGGTCGTACGTCGAGGCTGGCGGCGGCGAGCAGCTGCGCGAGGCGCGCGGGCGAGGGCGCGTGCGCACGCAGCAGCGCGGCCGCGTGCGCCGGCTCGGCCAGCTGTCAATCTAAAGTGAACTCTACGTGTACGTATATAAAGCAGTGGGTCGTACGTCGAGGCTGGCGGCGGCGAGCAGCTGCGCGAGGCGCGCGGGCGAGGGCGCGTGCGCACGCAGCAGCGCGGCCGCGTGCGCCGGCTCGGCCAGCTGTCAATCTAAAGTGAACTCTACGTGTACGTATATAAAGCAGTGGGTCGTACGTCGAGGCTGGCGGCGGCGAGCAGCTGCGCGAGGCGCGCGGGCGAGGGCGCGTGCGCACGCAGCAGCGCGGCCGCGTGCGCCGGCTCGGCGAGCGCCAGCAGCAGCGCCCAGCCGTCCAGCGCCGCCGCGTGCCACGCGCCTTCTTCAACCACAGCGCCCGACACCTTCACGCTGCTGTCACCCTGGTACAACAAAACACGCAACGCTTTATTATAAACTCAATTTTTTGAAGTGAAAACTTTAGGTACATTGGGCACTTTTGAGGTGGGAAAACGCACTAAACTCGCGTGACAATCATGCTCAGATACTGTTGCAATGTGCAAAATTTCATTGAAATCGGTTCAGTAGTTTAGGAGTTCGTCGCGGACAAACAATGTGACACGTAATTTTTATATATAAAGATAATCATTCTTTTTCATGGAAATCAGCGCAATAAATGAAAATTTTATTACTATATTAATTTGTTGATAAAAATAAATTTTTATTAACAAATTAATAAATGCTAATAAAAAATACTTCCTAAAAATATTTTTTAACAACCCAAAAAGAAGAAAGAGAGCTTTTTTTATAAAATCATCATCATCATCATCATTACAGCCCTTCACAAGTCCACTGCTGAACATAGGCCTCCCCCAAAGAATGCCACAAAACACGGTCCTGAGCCACCTGCATCCATCGACTTCCTGCATGTCTTACCAGGTCGTCACTCCATCTCGTGGGGGGACGCCCTACACTTCGCCTACCGGTACGAGGCTGCCACTCGAGAACCTTTCTTCCCCATCGGTTGTCGGTTCTTCGAGCTATATGGCCGGCCCACTGCCACTTCAGCTTACTAATCCGTTGGGCTATGTCGGTCACTCTGGTTCTACTGCGGATATCCTCATTCCTAAGTTTATCACGCAGAGAAACTCCGAGCATAGCCCTCTCCATAGCTCGCTGAGCGACCTTGAGCTTCCTCATACGGCCAGCAGTGAAGGACCACGTCTCAGTTCCGTAAGTCATCACTGGCAACACGCACTGGTTGTACAATTTCGTTTTAAGATTTTGAGGTATGTCTGACGAGAAGATGTGTCGTAGCTTCCCGAACGCTGCCCAGCCGAGTTGAATCCGTCGATTGACCTCTCGGTCGAAGTTGGACTTACCCAGTCGGACTATTTGTCCTAGGTAAACATATTCGTCAACAACTTCGAGCTTAGTGTTCCCAACAACTACCGGCATAGGTGTGACATGAACATTAAACATGATCTTAGTTTTGTCCATGTTCATCTTAAGACCTATCCGTTGGGAAACACTATTGAGGTCATTGAGCATAGTGCTTAGGTCCTCCAGCGATTCTGCCATAAGGACTATATCGTCGGCAAATCGAAGGTGAGTGATGTACTCGCCATTGATGTTGATACCGTATCCTTTCCAGTCCAGAAGCTTGAAAACGTCTTCCAATGCAGCGGTGAAGAGTTTCGGGGATATGACGTCACCCTGTCTTACACCTCTCTGCAATTGGATAGGTTTCGTACTCTGGTTCTGTACTCGGATAGCCATCGTAGCCCTACTGTACAAGCACTTCAACACTTCGATATACCGACAGTCAACTTGGCACCGCTGAAGGGACTGCAGCACCGCCCAAATTTCGACGGAATCAAAGGCTTTCTCATAGTCCACATACGCCAGACATAGTGGCAAATTGTACTCTTCGGACTTCTGTACAACTTGCCGAAGGGTATGTATGTGGTCTATGGTGCTAAAGCCCTTTCGGAAACCGGCTTGTTCGGGAGGCTGGAAGTCGTCAAGTCTGCGCGCGAGACGATTCGTAATGACTCTCGAAAACAGCACGTAGACGCGGCTCAGAAGGGAAATCGGTCTGTAGTTCTTCAAGAGAGCGTTGTCACCTTTCTTGAAGAACAAGACCACCGCACTTCTGCTCCACGCCTCCGGTGTAATGCCACCATGGAGGACAGAATTAAAGAGCTTCTGAAGGACTTCAAGTACCGGTCTTCCACCCGCTTTCAGAAGCTCCGCTGTAATTCCATCCTCGCCTGGGGCCTTACCGTTTTTAAGGTGCTGGAGAGCCATCCTAATCTCGCTCAGACTGACATCCGGGATATCTTCAGAATAGTGTCGGATGAGACTCGCTCTTGGATCGTTACTCACACTTGCGTGTGGCTCCAACGATGATGTGTACAGCTGCCCATAGAACCTCTCAATCTCACTCAAAATCTCAGGTGTCCCGGAAACGATGCTGCCACATTCTGTCTTCAGCTTTGACAGTTGGCTCTTTCTGGCAGACAGATCTCTGGCAAAGACTTTGGAGCCTTGGTTCCGCTCGATCGCTTCTTCAATACGAGCTGTATTGAAGTTGCGTAAGTCCCGCCGCATGCATTTGGAGATCTGTCTATTCAGATGCCTGTATGCTGTCAAGTCTGTTGAAGAATGTAGCTTCATCTCCCGTCTAACAGCCATGAGATTAAGAGTGTGATCGGAGAGTTTTTGTGTTCTTCTGCGGCGGGTCTTGCAGAACTTAGCTCCAACCGCATGGACAGTTTCCACGAGCTTGTCATTCATATCGTCCACTTCATTGCAGTCTTCCAGGCACTTAAAACGGTTTTGTAACTCGAGCTGAAAGGTTTCGGGACTTTGGAACAGAGCACGAGGGGGACGGAGCGTTGACTTCATTAGACGAGACCTCTCCAACTTAACGTTTAGGTTCAGTGTGCCTCTAACCATTCGGTGATCGCTACCAGTTTTCACCCTCGCGATCACGGAGACATCACTGAACAGTTGTCGTCTGGTCGTCATAATGAAGTCAATCTCATTTTTTGTGGAACCGTCGGGGCTCGACCAGGTCCACTTCCTGTGGGGCCGCTTCTGGAAGAAAGAGTTCATCATAAAGAGTCCCTCTTTCTCCATGAAGTCGGCCAGCTGCTGGCCCCTTGGGTTCCGTTGCCCTATTCCAAATTTCCCTACTTTCAGCTCACCGTTCTCTCTTGTGCCTAGTTTTGCATTGAAGTCTCCCATTAACACCGTATATTGGGTTTTGGAGGAATGCATGGCTCTAGAGATATCCTCATACATTTCCTCCACCTCCTCATCGGGGTGTGCCGAGGTTGGTGCGTAAACCTGTATGACCTTCAGCGAATACCGTTTGGTGATTCTGAGTATAAGGTACGCAACCCTCGTCGACACACTCCCGATTTTTACAACGTTGTTAACGAGAGACTTGTGGACGATAAATCCGACACCTCCTTGGGACAGATGGTCGCCCTCCCGGTGATAGAGCAAGTTGCCGGATTCGAGGATTACCGTGTCCTCCCCCTCTCTTCGGACTTCGGATAATCCTATAATATGCCAGCGCAACTTGTCTATCTCTTCTTCCAGCTCCACGATCTTCTCGTCAGTCCTCAGGGTGCGTGCGTTGTACGTTGCCAGGTCGAGTCGTCTAAGGTGGCAACCGAACCTCCACCGGAGATTCTTAGCACCCCCTGCCCCGCCGTTACCATGGTCGCCACCGTAGCCAGGAATAGCGGGGCCGCCGGGGACTGGGGGCCGTTTTTTTGTTGCTCTCATCATTGGGGGGTATTTGCCATAGTTGCCACGCTTGGCGAGCGGGTTGGCAACCGCAGTTTTTTTATTGTAATTTGGCTATTATCAGGAAGATGCTGCTGCCCATCTCCTGGCTGTTTCCCTTTGTCGCCTTTTACGACACCCACGGGAGGATATGGGGTAGTGGATATTCTTGACCGCCACTACACGGCAAAAAATTTTTTTATAAAATAAAACAACAATTTTGTAATAGATAGGTAAATATTGTTACGAGCTTGGGGTTCGAGACAATTAAAAACTGCCGATTGATTTTCCAAAATTGACACTTTAATTACACAACACTAATTACAATCTTAAATCACACTAATAATAAAACACAGTTCGCCGTTATTTCGCTTCGAAGTATTCTCTTGTATCGCCAATTCAATACTCCCCGGTCGTGGTCTATACCGGCCTTATATAGGGCCTCAGATAGTTTCCAGAACCTTCTACTGTAGCGACATCGAGAATGTTCGAGTACATATCGGTCCCGAAATTTCTGGAAGGATCTCGACTCTCCTAGTTCTGCTACTCGACACTAGAGGGCGCTAGTGTGACTAGTGTTGCCATGTACAAGACATTAATAGTGGCGCGCAATACTTTCATTTACTCGACACTAGGGGGCGCTAGTGTAACTAGTGTTGCCATGTACAAGACATTAATAGTGGCGCGTAACAATATGTTAAAGAAATGAATATACTTTGTATATATAATTGTACTGTCGGTGTGTATGTGAACTAAACTCCTAAACAGTTGGGACTGATATTGATGAAATTTTGTGCGTGAGAATAAATTTTCGAAAATGGTTTAGATTCACAATTCGACCCGGTACTGTTGTCGAGATCCAGAAAGCACCCATGCGAAGCCGTGGCGGATCGCTAGTAATAACATAAATGTTTAAAAAAACTTAACATGCATTGATTATTCTCTGATGTTCCTGATATTTGATTTTATCCTAGTAATCTTGATCAGGATATGAGCATAAAGTTATTAAATTATTGTATGGTCATCGTCCTTGATACGAGTGCAAATTTACAAGTCAATCAGCAGTCTACGTGTTGGTGAAAATTACATTAAGATTCCGTTACATAGATAAATAGATAGATACAAGCAAGCTAATACGAGTAAAAGCGTGTTGAAAAGATACAAAAAATTAAAAATAAAGTGAATTATACAATTGCAGTTTTGGCGGGAACTTGATCGATTGATGAAAAATAATAGTTTGAAGTAGATTTTGTTATGTAAAAGTGGTACAATTTTGTGGATTAAATGTCTGCTCATGTGAATTAGTGGAAACGATAAAACAAGTGCTCCTATGGCAAAGTGAACCTCAAGATAATGTCTGCTTAGGTGTCTTGAGATAATATCATCAACGATTGTTGGCACAAACTTACGTTAAAATATCTCAAAAAAATTATAAATGAATAAATAAATTAACAAATTCCTCAAACACTAAATTGGAAAATACATTATTAAACATAATTATAGAAACAATTTGTCCTAACAGCGACCAAGCAGACAATGAGATTGAGACAAGTAATGTTCCCTTACTAATTTATTAAAGACATTAATGTATCGCATCTCACATATATTTAAAATAAGTTTAAGATCAAACACATGTACTCCATATAACTATACTAAACAGCATTATTAATGTAGGGTCTAGTTGTACAGAATTACCTAGTAAACCGTACATTAATAATATATTTTAATCGTTGAGTACTAATAGAAAGACTGTTGAGAAAAAAATGTATTAAAATAAATTTATCACCAGGTACAAAAAATAAGTTAAGAGTGGGTTTAACCCGTGATAGAAATGCACTGATCATTCTTTTTAGTTTGTTACGTTAGTTAGTAGACGCACGCGGCGGAAGTACGGCGCGTGTAAGTAAATAATATTAGGTCCTTACATATGAAGGGCACAGGAAAAGGAGCTCATTAACATTGTCATTGTTTCGAGTAATTAAATAATTAAACCTAAAATTTCAATTTCTACACTTACAACTCTACTAGAATATGAATTGTACCCATATAAAAAAGGAACAGTGTATATTTAAAATAATATATTGTTATTTTAAAAGATTGGATTGGTAAATAAACAATAGTTTGTAATTTAATTACCTAACTCCCAAATGTAAAAGGCAAGAAGGTGCTCATTGTCACAATGATCTCCTTTTTACATTAATTGGTGATCATAAACAATGTGTAATTACATAAACACACTAATGAAATAAAATACATGTTAATTAGCATGAAATTTATTTGTGGGGTAAGTTAATATATTCGGGTAAAATAAATTTTAAATATGAAAAAAGAACCGGGGCCCTACAAACAGCAGTAACGGCAGAAAATGTATAAACTACTGAAATGTTGGTGCGAGAAGACCCACGAATCACATATACGGACATCGAAAAGATTGTAGGCATTAGTTCGGGCAGCATTCATACCATCCTACATCAACATCTTGAAGTGTGTCGATGGATCCCTCGTTTGCTCTCTGAAAGCGAAAAACAGACTCCTGTCGAATGGTGCCATGAAATGCGTCTACGTTTTGAAAATGGGGCATCTAGGTGTGTTTCAGAAATCGTTATTGGTGACGAGACATGGATCTATCAATATGATCCGGAAAATAAAAGGCAATCATCGGTATAGGTCAACTCAGAAGGACAGTTACTGACAATACTGCAAAGACCTTGCAACGTCGGCAAATAAATGGTGGCTAGTTTTTTTTCGCGGAGCGGACATTTGTCGACGTCAATGCTGGAAAATTGTAGGTCAGTCAACTCTGAATGGTATACTACAGTTGAATTACCCAAAGCTTTTCAAGCTGTGCGGGAGAGAAGACCAAAGACCGGGCTTCGGGGAATCATGCTGCATCACGATAACGCCTCTTCACATACCTCCCTTAGAACAAAAGCATTTATTGAGGAATCTGGTGTTGAAGCCGTGGCTGCCTACGAAGAAGCGATTTCCGACCTGTCAGATCAAGACTGACAAAAGTGTTTTCAGAGTTGACTTAGGCGAATGGAACTTTGTATAGACCATGGAGAATATTTTGAAAAGATGTAAATAATAATAATATCTAGAATACTTTTCGCATATCTTAAAACTTATTGAGTGTCCAACGTATTATTGTCCATTTTGAGATAAATAAGCAAAAACTTTTAAAAACCTAACATACACTAAAGGAGTCGTAAAATTTATGCAAGGAAGCTTATCTGGCAGCTGTCATTTGTATGACCAAATAATACAGATGGCCGACTATGAGCGCGTTTTCTGTTACAATCGCTGCGATCAGGCCGTTCTAGCATGGTTTCATAGACAATGGGCACCTTTTTACGCGGTATAGAATGCAATGAGCGCGTTTTATCCTAAAGTCACTTGTCTTTAATCTTCATTTGTGGATCCATCACAAAGCACTTCAGAGACAGCTGCAGGCTTCGGGGTAAGTGATAAAACTGTATTAATCCACTTGAAGCAAATCGGGAAAGTAAAAAAAACGAACGATGGGTACCTCATGAATTGAGTGAATCGAAGTTGCAAACACGCGTCGACTGCTGTGTTACTTTGCTCAACCGACACAATAATGAACGGATTTTAAATTGAATCATTACTTGTGATGAAAGTGGATACTGTACGATAATCGGAAGCTCTCGTCGCAATGGCTGAACCCTGGAGACCCAGCCATATCCTGCCCTAAACGAAAATTGACTCGGAAAAGTTACTTGTGAGTGTTTGGCGGACTAGCGCCGGTGTCGTTCACTACAGCTTTTTAAAATCTGGCCAAATGATTACGGCAGATATCCATTGTCAGCAACTGCAAACCATGAAGGAAGAACTAGCTGCTAAACAACCGAGATTGGTCAATCGCTCTAGGCCACTGTTGCTTCTCGACAACGCAAGACCACACACTGCACAACAAATAACCACTAAGTTAGATGAGCTACAATTGGAATGTCTGCGACATCCACCGTACTCCCTGGACCTTGCTCCAACAGATTACCATTTTTTTCCGGAATTTGGACAACTTCTTACAAGAAAAAAAATTCAACTCCGATGCGGCAGTCCAAACTGCCTTCAAAGAGTTTATTGATACTCGCCCCCATGGTTTCTTTTAAAGTAAAGAGATCAATTAACTACCTATGAGATGGCAAAAGTGCATAGATAACAACGGTGCATACTTTGATTAATTAAATATATTTTACAAAAAAAAAATACTTTATATTCCTCCTATATAAAACGCCAATTTCATATGTAAGGACCTAATATGTACAATTTTTAGGCCATACAAATCTATACAAATAAATAAAATTGATGTGTCCTAGATGTTTAAAATAAAAAATATAATTTATATAATTATTACTTTGTCTTGGAATTTTGTAATATGTTGATTGAACTAAGTTAACATTTTAATACTCTCAACACAAGGAATATACAATAAAAATATTAAACATTTTACGATCTGAACTAAATATAATCATAATTAAAAATTAAATTTATTAGTCATAAAGAGTAAAGACAAAAGACTTTGTGTATTTTGTAATGGAATATTTATCGTTCAAACATTTAGACGAATTCTGAATGGAACATTGAACTTGAATGACCTTGAAGATTATTATTTTAGATTGTGGAAATGTTGAGTCATAGTTTTGAGTAAACACATGCTGTTCTGATCATATTATATATATCTAATATATCTGACGGAAAATCTTAAATCGATCTGTTTTGAAAAACAGAAATGTGGGCTTTAAAATAAAAATAAAAGATATAACGCGTTATTTTGAATAAAAATTAATACTTTCTAGCCGTGGTAAGTCAAGGGTTACACAACCATGATACGCAGTTATGTGACTTGTACGCGTATTTAAAGTGTGCACGGAAAAATAAAAAAATTCAAAAGTAATGGCTTGCATATGTCTAGACTAGAAGCAGACTTTACCCGCGACAAAATAGTAAATCATTTTTAACCCCCAACATAAAAAGAGGAGTGTTATAACTAATAAGTTTGAATGCTATGTATGTCTGTCTGTGGGACCGTAGGTCTTATAAAGAGGCGATTTGGGTGCGGTTTTTTTATTTATTTAAAAGCAGGTTTTCTAGAGGTAGTTCTTATACGTATTTTATTAAAATCGGTTCAGCCGTTTGAAGATCATCAGCTCTTTTTGTTCCAGGGGGTTTTCAATTTTCAATTTGTTATATTATTGTAATAAGATAATTTACATTTATAATACACAATAATTTAGATTTATATTAGTAATTCCTATTGCTCATACAAAAAGGGGTATTTGATCAAATATGATGTATGATTAATTCGTATATAAATAATAATTGTAATAAAATTAATAGCTCCTAAAATAGATGAAATTCCAGCTAAATGTAAAAAAAGATGGCTAAATCAACTGATCTTCCGCCATAGGCAATATTAGATGATAAAGAGGGATAAACTGTTCATCCATTTCCTGCTCCGTTTTCTTGAACTCTTCTAGAAATTAGTAAGATTAAAATAAAAGTCCCGCTGGGTTTCTTGCTGGTTCTTCCCAGGACAGAGGGTTTTTTTCGAACCAGTGGTAAAGTAAAAAATGACTTTCAATAAGAATTACACATGTAATGTATATTGAATAAAAAAATATTCTATTCTATTCTAATGATAATATTCAAAATCTTCTATTATTTATTCGGGGGGAAAGCTATATCTGGTGCCCCTAATATTAATAGGACTAATTAATTTCCAAATCCTCCAATTATAATTGGTATAATTTATTTAATACTCACTTTAAGGTAGCTGCCACTGAAGATGGTCTCGTACATGCGCATAATCTCGACGATTTCAGAGATGTCTTCTTCCAGAAGATAGCACAGCACCGCAAGTGATGAGCAGCACTGAAGAGTTATATTCATTATTAATTTTCACGTGGTAGAGCCATGCTGCAGCTATATTAGTAGTATAGTTGTAGGACGAATGAGTCGGCTCGACCGACCGGGGAAGGACCACACTCTCAAAGAATATCAGCGTAAATTAGCAGCTTACGCTGCTGTGTTCAGTATGGTGAGTGTAGAGAACCAGAGACCCTTTTTACTGGAAAAGAGGCATTCCATCTTAGTCCTCATGGGTGACCACGCATCTGCATTTTGAGTCTTTATTGAGGATAGATGTAGATGTCTATGGGTCACAGTAACCACTTACCATCAGGTGGACTGTGTGCTCGTTTGTCACCCTATACTATAAAAAAAAGAAAAAATATAAGTTTACATGCTATAAAGACATGAATAATCTGTTTCCAATTTAAAAAAAAAATTGTCCGTCCGTCTGTCCGGGCTAACTAGAGGAGCAGATAGAGAGCAATGCTATGAAGGATTTAGGCTACCGGAGATTTTTCTTTATAAAAACGAGTGAGTCGCTAATCTAACAATATAAATAACATACAAAAATATACAAAAAAGAGAATGGTAAATAAAAAAAAACTTAAATAACAACACAAAACTAGATCTGTGAAGGTCAACAAATAATTGACAACTTTTTAAACAAAGCATTTTAAACCAACCTCAGTTCGTGTTTCGAGCGAGGTAGATTTATCGGTGCAAGCGGCGAAAAGTGCAGGCCTTACTTCCTTCATGAATTCATCTGTACCTTCCTCGCCAATCTGGAATAGTAGTTAAAGCAAACAAAATTATTTAAGTGTTTATAAAAAAATAAATAAACAAACAGTTTGGAAATGGACTTAAACTTTGGAAGTGGTCAAAACCAGTTGTTGTGTTGTGTTACAAGTTTATTATAGTCAGAACTTAAATAGTTATTATTTTACAAACCTAAACTTGAATCATTTCATAAATCAAAGGGATATTACTGAAACGATTATTTATGAATTGGTTTATTTTTCTAATGTCCTAATACGTTAATATAAGATAATTAGAGCCTTTTTCAAAGGTTAGCAATAGTAACATATCTGTGATAACTAGTGCTAATTATTGATATTTCCTTGTAGGTACTACTTATGTTTCAAATAGTTATCAAGGTTTTAAAATAGAATGAAATGGAATGATTTTTTTCATTATAGTAGATTACATAATACTTATTGACACCCTTACACTAGTTTCGCACCTTTATACTATAAAAAAAAAGTTTGCTGTCACGGTCCTCCCGGCAGATGTGAAACATCATAGCCAGTGTTTGACCACAATTCTCACCTGGTGATAAGGGGTGATGCAGCCTTAGATAGTAAGTCGCACTGTCTTAACGTAACAAAAGCCTATTCCCAAAATATATGATTGTTTCTGTTTCTATACATGCCTTTATAGAATAACATTTTACATTTTAAGAATGTCTTCTCTGTTACAAATATTTGCATGATTGAAATTTTACTTTAAAATCATTTATACAGGGTTATTTTCCAACAACCGGCCCAATTTGGAGAGAAGGTTCACAATAAGTAATATAGGCAAATGGTAAAGAAAAATTAATTCAAAAAAATCTCAAACTTTCCGTCCTTTTTATCTTTTAAATTCAAAATGGGTGGTAATGCATTATTTTAACCGATTTTTACTGCGCACGCACACTTTTGTAAGGGTCGATCGGTATGCAAAATCGTCGTTGGCCATAAATCAAAGTGATTTTTTGACAATTTGGGATAATTTCAAATAAAATTACTTCTGTGTGCCTTATTTATTTGTATTTTCAAAACCCGCAATAACAGTATAATATCATTATTTATTATTTGAACTTAAGTTTAACATTTTGCTAATCTTGAAAAATAACCCTGTATTATACAATTATGAATTATATATATCAAAAGAATAAACAATGTTGCTCTAGTAGTCTATAATTCCTTAAAAATGGGTCATACGTAGCGATAAGCGATTAGCGCGTCTAAAATTTACAAGCAACCTATTGTGTAATCAACTAAAAAGGGACATATTTATTTATAGAAGGAATTTTCTCTTAAGCGTAGTGAATACTTAATAACCTGCAAAGCTACTAGGGAAGCAACGTTCGCTGCTGCTCGCCGCTCACCGTCCTTCCCCCGCTTCAGCGCACGCGATATGTGGTCAGCCAGAGTTGCACGATGGTTTGCCAATATCCCAGCAAAATAACGTCTTTGCAATGCGCCATGTAGTGACACTAGTGCAGCTGCTCTTGCAGCATTAGCCCGAGCGTTTAGAGCCTCAATCAATTCTAGCACCTTCTCTTCTAGTTTTTCTTGGATGTCATTTTCTGTAAAACAGCAATTGTTGTGATGGCAAATTTTGAAAGGTTATAGGGAATCACAGTCAGAAAACTTAAGGCTAATATAAATAATAAATTTAAAAAGTTACACTCTGTATAAGTCCCACACCCGAGCACAAGCATCCTCTTATTACTGAAAGGGTTTTAGGGAGCGTTCCGACGACGCGCACCCGCTACGCGCACGCCACGCGCGTCAGTACTCGCGTCTAACTCGCTTTGAAATTTGTTGCATATAATTTGAGTCTTATGACAAATCAATAAATCTGAAATTGTATAAAACGCGTGTGCGGTGTGAGCGCGGGAATTAACATGACCACTGTATATATATATATATATATATATATATATATATATATATATTTATAGGAGAGGGGGCAAACAAGCATATGCGACTCACCTGATGGTAAGTGACTACCGCCGCCCATAAACAACTGCAACACCAGGGGAACCAGGGGAATTGCAGATGCGTTGCCGGCCTTTTAAAAAGGAGTAGGCTCTTTTCTTGAAGGTCCCTAAGTCGTATCGGTCCGGAAAAATCGCTGATGGTAATCGATTCCACAAGGAAGTCGTGCGAGGAAGAAAACATCTTCTAAATCGCACTGTGGTGGACCGCCAATCATCCAGATGGTGTGAATGGTATCGCGAGTTTTGTCGATGTCGATGTGCGATGGTGAAATTGAGCGGCTGGAATTAGTCCGAACAATTCCTCAGAGCACTCCCCGTGGTAAATGCGAAAGAAAATGCAAAGGGATGCAACATCTCTTCGCAGTGCCAATGAATCGAACCGATCGGAAAGGACTCGGTCGTCGACAATACGAGCCGCTCTGCTTTGGATGCGGTCCAGTGGAAGGAGCTGGCACTGGGGAGCCCCTGCCCAGAGATGGGAACAGTATTCCATGTGAGGCCGAACCTGCGCCTTGTAAAGTTGCAGGCGGTGTGCCGGCATGAAATACTGTCCCGCTCTGCTGAGCACGCCAAGCTTTTTAGAGGCCAATTTGGCCTTCTCTTCCAAGTGACCACGAAACTGCACGTCACTCGATATGTCGACTCCGAGGATTCCGATACTGGCTGAGGCAAGAGGGGGAGTGCCTTGAAACTGAGGAGATACGATAAAGGGGTTCTTTTTAGCGGTAAACGCGCAAACTTGTGTCTTCTGAGGATTAAAATGGACTAGATTTAGTCGCCCCCAATCCGAGACTTTGTTCAGCAAAGACTCGATTTCAGACACAAGTTTGTTCCGGTACTCGGCGACGTTTTCCTGAGAAATATTGGCACGGGCCGGTGTATAGAGCATCACCAGTGCTGTCATCCGCAAAGCAATGAATGTTACCAGTTAACAACTTATCATTGATATGCACAAGAAACAGCGTTGGTGATAGCACACAGCCTTGTGGAACACCAGCGTTAATAGGCTTGTAGTCAGAACATGCTCCGATCTGCAAGGAAGCTGGTGATCCAATTGCACAATTTCTCGGGAAGCCCATAGGAAGGGAGCTTCGAAAGAAGCGCTTTGTACCAAACCCGATTGAAGGCCTTCGCAGTGTCCAAACTAACGGCCAACGCCTCCTCCTTGGACTCTACTGCCTCCGCCCATCGTGAGTCAGGTAGACCAGAAGATTACCAGCTGGTCGACCCCGACGAAAACCGTATTGGCGGTCACTAATCAGCTGGTGATCCTCAATGTACCGCATGAGCTGGCAGTTAATAATGGATTCCATTATTTTGGAGAACAAGGAGGTGATGGCGATAGGTCTGTAGTTGGACGGGTCTGAGCGGTCGCCTTTTTTAGGGATCAGGTGGACAAAAGCTGTCTTCCATGAATTCGGGACTACGCCTTGGGAGTAGGAGTACCGGAAAAGACGCGTTAGGACCGGTGCCAACTCCGGAGCACACGTCCTCAGCACAATTAGGGGGATTCTGTCAGGCCCACTCGATTTCTGGATGTCCAGGGAGAGGAGTGCTTTGCGAACTGAGCGCTGTGAGAACCGCACATCCGGCATGGAGCACTCACACCGCGGGATGGTCGGCGTTGTTTTCCCCCCGTCATCAAGAGTCGAGTTGGACGCAAAAAGGGAGCCTAAAAGGTCGGCTTTGTCTTTTGCGGCTTGGGCCAGTGAATCGTCCTCCCTGTGCAGAGATGGTAGTGATGGCTTACAGAAATTCCCTTGGACAGCCTTGGCGAAAGACCAGAATGCACGGGTTCCCGAAGGAAGGCGAACTAGTTTCTCGCCAATTCTGCCTATGTGCTCTGACTTTGCCTTGGCAATAACTCTTTTAAAGGACCTGGAGGCGAAGTTATACTTCTTTTTAAGTATGCTGGTGTTTATATCCCGAGTAACCGAAGCCGCAGCCCAGACTTGATAACACTCCTGCTTACTGCGTAACGCAGTCCTTACAAAATATACACCTATTTATCATCTTTTGTCACACTGTTTAAATAATTATTGTGAGATGCATCGTATAGTGCGGGATATTAGGCCACCTGGTTTATCAGTTTCTCTTCCACGGAATCGGTGAAACTCATTTTTTGAGAAAAATTCAACGTGTCGCTCGGGCGTTGGCAGCACTACTGGTCCGGCGACACTGTCGTCTGTAGCTCGGCCCGTAGTGGCAACTGACGTGTCGCTAGCTACGGAAGGTATTTCATAGAACTACATAGAAACCAGTAGTGTCGCGACGACACGTCGCCTGCTGCTGCTGCCTGCAGTCGGCTACGGAATTGTACCTTATGACTAGACATCGGATTTTATGCATTTGCATATTCATATGCAAATGCATGTAACTGTCTAATTACGGCGTTAATGCATATTTTAGCCTTTTTTCCCAATCGCGCATATTGCGTTTAGTAGCGGGAGGAACGTATAGGGACCTAGGTGACCCAGGGCGCGAGTGCAGTGGCTGACTGAACTCACTGGCCAAATTTTAAAATTTGTCCAATGATGTCAGTGGATGTCGAGAGGTCGTTTTCGGCGTACAAATTGATAGTGGGTGACAAACGTCACAAATTAGCGCTCGAAAATCTGGAAAAATACTTAATTATATATTGTCATAAAAATATTTCGCTGTTTTTATGGTTTTTTGATTTTGCATTGTGCATATTTTGGGCATATCAACAGTTTTAAGTGCATATTTCGGCATTTTTAGTGCATATTTTGGGACTTTGTTAGTGCATATAATCCAATGTCTACTTATGACAAATTTAAAATTATGAGATGTGGGCCACACTCACCCTCCTCCCTTATCTACACGACTTAAAAGAAAAATGGCATAAGTTAATTTTATGCATATAAATACCTGTTTCTTCATGGTTACTCTTAGATTCAGACTGGCCTGATATTTCTGAAGAGTTGTCTATGGTCATGTCGATGCCAGCATCCTCATCTGATGAGTAGGCTTGTTCTGTTCTTTTATGTTCTGTAATTGATGAAAATTGTTAAGATTCTATTGTTAAGTAATAAATATGTCTGCAAAATGATCAATAATATACCTAAGAGTCCAGTATAGACTGTAGAGTCTCACATATGGGGTTTTGTTAGGAATATAATTTGATAGAGACCAGGATATAAATATCAATAACACTACTGGAAAACAATTCCCCTCAACAGTAAAGTCCTCGGTAACCGTCATCCATTGTGGTGATTCAATTTCGCGCCATTATTGTTCTAGAAATTACTATTATACTTCGATTTTAGCACTAATGTTATGTTATCTATACAAATAAATAAAATTGAAGTGTCTGTTTGTAATGTCAAAATTACAGGTTTTTACTAATTGCAAATGAAAGTATATACGGTACTTATAACCAAAACACAATTTTCAAAATTTTTGTCTGTCTATCTGTTTGTTCCGGCTAATCTCCGAAACGGCTGGACCGATTTTGACGGGACTTTCACTGGCAGGTAGCTGATTTCATAAGGAGTAACTTATGCTACTATTATTTTAGAAAAATAATTAGGGTTCCGCGCAAAAACATAAAAACCCTAACACGCGAGCGAAGTCGCGGGGAACAGCTAGTAATAATATATAAATTTAGATGAGAAAAATATTTTTATTATATTTTATTGTATAAACTATAAACCATAACATTATACCCATATAAGTAAAGAAAACACGACTTAAGTAAATCATTCTACTCAAGCAGTAAAATACAGTCACAATAGTAGAAACAAATAACAGAATATGATCTGCTATCTTGATTCTCGTGCTACATTTGGCAAACTTATACTGTTAACAACTGACAAATACCTCATGAATTCCCAACCATGATAAATTCCAAGTAAATAAAAGCTGATAGCTTTATTGCATGAGAGTACTATAGTGCCAGAAGTATATGCAAATGCAAATATTCATTTGAACACTTATGGAATAAGACTGAAGGAAACAAGAGGACCCTAAAACTCCATGTCAGAAACAGATGTGGGAACAGTCATAATACAAATGATACTAATTTATTCTAATATTAATAAAACTAAATTATTAATATGTCAAACTAAGTTTTACGGATTTCATAATGTATATTAATTTATATTAAATCTCCAACGTTTTCATTTTAATATAATATAATTATGCAATAAAATCTGTTAAATTTAGTTTCATTTAAATGTGTAGTGATCGCGTAAACATAAGAAATTATTAGTATTAATATGTATTATTCCGAAAATGTTGATTCTGGCTAGAATTTGAACCAAGGATATGAAGTATATTTTGAACACTGGGCTACATAGTTGCTGACAAATATCAATGAGGCTTTATGTATATATTATATTCAACACCTTTGATGCTGCTACTCATTGCTCGTCTGTTTTTTTACACCTGACATACATCACGTGGATTATACTGCCATGTACTGGTAGTTATAAGATGTTTTTGGCATATGCCATAGCCGTTGTTGAATAATTAAAAAATTAAACCTTCAAAATATTTTTTTTTATTGCAAGTGCTGGCAGTTTGTATTTTATACTAGCTGCACAATTAATTCTCAACCAACTTCATATTAGTTCCTTCACACAAGTGTATGTACGAGGGCGGCACTGAAAATTTCGGGAATCAAGGAAGTGACACTACATTACTATTTAAAAATGTATTTATTGCTTTTCGAAGTATTCTCCGCGAAATTTGACACATTTTTCCATACGATGGAACCAATCATTGAAGCAACCATTCCATTCGGAAGTTGGGGTCTCCAAAATGGCCGTTTTGTAGGCGTCCACAGCTTCTTCAGGTGATGAAAATCTCTGTCCACGCAATTTATTCTTTATTATTAAATCATTAGGGCTTAGGTCGGGGCTGTATGGCGGATGGTCTAATAATTCTATGTTTTCTTTATCTAAAAACTCTTTTGTTCTGTGTGCTCTTTTGTTTTGTTTTGTTTTTTGTCCCTCAAGATTCTTGAGGGACAAAGAGTCAAGAGGAATAGTTGTAACATGGCCGGTTTTGGAGACAAACGTGGCAACCATTTTTTTTGCAACACTCCATGAATGAACAATTTTTGTTGGCTTTAACTCATTTTCGAACACCCAAACTCGTATGCGTATATCCAGGATACGTCACCTGATACGATGTTGTATACAGCATTTGAGGATCCTGCGTGGAATCGTTCGAGAGTTCTGACGCACCAAGTAACGCGAGCTGCTTTTTACTCTCCACAGAGCGAATGCGGTATCCATCGGGAAAACAACTTTTTTACACCTAATTAATCATGCAAGATTATTTGTATTTGACTCATGCCAATGTCTAAAGTTGCCTGAACTTCACGGTATGTCACATGTCGATCTTCCTCAATCAGCTTACGCACAGCATCAACGTTTTCTTGGGTGACTGCAGTTTTTGGACGACCTTGACGGGGATCATCACTAAGCTTGACACGTCCACGTTGAAATTCAGCAAACCAGCGATAAATTGTGGTTTTGGATGGGGCTTCATCACCAAATGCAGAAATCATCCGGTCAACACACTGTTTCTGTGTTAAACCACTTCGAAAGTCATAATAAATCGCTCTTGAATTTTCTCGAGTCAATTCCATTTTCTCAACAACTAAACAAATTTGACAAAAGCTTGTGACAAGACCGAGAATCTTTTTTTAAATAAATAAATGGTATTCGATTTTTAAAACTAAGGACTTTTCAATTAAAAACATTTTAATATAACAGGAACAGTGGAAATATTCCATTCCCGATGCTTTTAGTGCAGCCTATGTATAATTGTTCTGTTAGACCAATGTGGGTAAATATGCAACTATTAAATATTCAAATAAGTAATATTATTTTTATAATATGGCTTTAATTTTTATAGTTTTTGTATGATATGGTATGGCTCAAATTTTACAGAATATTTTTAGGTCAAGGTGGATAGTGATTGAATTAGATTGATATTGGAGAAAGAAAGTTTAGATTTTAAAACATGGATTGTAAAATGAAAATGATAGAGAGATTAAAGATATTTGTTAAATTACAAGAGGATACTAAGTAGTTAGCAAGTGGGTTATTCTGCAAAGGTGATTCTCAAATGGGGTCTGAAGATAATCAATCAAATCAAATGCAGATAATAACATCTAGAAATATCTAGAAATAGGCACAAAATACTGAATCTGGAATCTTTTGTGTAGATTAATCACTTTTGTATACACATGATTATTTATCTATACAAAAAAGATATCTAGTCAAAGTACAAATATACCTAGCAACTAGTTACATAAAAATATCTTTAAATTACATATTAAAGTAAGATTAATTATAATAACCTGAATTTATATGTTGCAAGAAAAATCTTTAAAAGGAAAAGTTGTTGTTGTTCCACATGATGTATGGCATAATATTGCACAATATTTGATATATTATATGAAATTATATTGAAAAAGTATGTTTAATTTATAGATAACAGGAATGAAAATGAAGTTTAAGCAATAATTACAATGTCAACATTGCTGTGTATTGTTTATCAAGCGTAGCACCGTATAAAATGTGACGAAGCGATAAATATAATAGATAAAAAAGAAAAATTATATAATTTGTAATCCGGTTACTAAATCAAGGTCACGAGTTTCGGTCTTGCTTAATAATTTTATACAAAAACAGTATTAGTAGCAAATGTTATTTGAAAAGGTAAAACACGTGTTGAAATCGCTTGTTATGAAATATAGAAAGTTAGTTACATAGCGTTAGATTTACGAAATGCGGAACTACATAGCTTTTTAAGTTCTTTTAGAACATATGGTTAGTTGGCTCAAGGTAACGCTTTAATCATTAATGATAATCGAATGTGAATTATGTACGCGGTCTGTCATTATTGCAGAGACTTGAGTTGTAACCACAAGGTCGCGGCGTGATCTCATTCTTGGCAAATGCATGCTGGGGTTGCGCATAAAACAAACGATATTCATTTTAATGTACATAAGGTTAAAACAATACTTACCGTATTTACCCTTTTTCTTTCCTTTTGGCATCTTGATTTTGGAACGTAGCTGACTTACAACAAACAAAAAATATATATTCACTATTTATTATTTTACTATATTTCCCACTTAATCAAGAAGGAGAAAAGTTTATTATATCAGTTCTTATACAACAATTTGAGCACCGAATGTAACATAAAACTAAAATTTCAGAAAAACTTTTTAACATGTTTAACCGCGTATCATGTACACACGACTCCGTTGCTTTGCGCAATGCAATGCGCCTTGTCAGTAGGTTCAGTAGGAGTGGGCGATACAAATCGTATATAGATACAATATCTATATATCAGCACAATATCCAATATCTATATATCGGACGACAAACTAACTATGTATTAGATATTACGATTTTACGATACCGTGTTGATATGAGTCATCGCAGAATATCTAATATCTACTCAAAAACGAAACGTAAAATATCTAAATATATACATTGATTCGGATACCGAACAAACGTCGTTAGAATATATAGCTAAAACAGATATTACGACTACTTTACAACGAAAAGGTGATACGCTTACGCCTAATATTATTAATATTAATCCTTATTATTAGTGTTATACGATTTATTACAGAACACATCATTTCTAATATCCAGTCTAAGTAGTATTAAACTGATTTCAAAATAAACGATTATAGATCTTATTATGTATATAATAGGATGTTATTTTTAAACCAATTAATTTTAAATATTTGTAGACCGACCTTTGGGCCTTGAAAAATTGAAGTACCTATTTGCTCAAATTTGATTTTTGTGTTCTATTTTTAAATTTTATTTTTTGTTTCGTTCACGGGCATTGCGTCGCGTAATTTGAATGCGGATGACATATTTTATGTAATTTCTCTGCTCACTTTCGTTTGTAATTCGGTTTCGAAATTTAAATTTTATTTTGATAATTTTTTCGTTTTATGTATAGGTACCTATATAGTTTCTTAAGTTTGAACTGTTTTTGTGTATTAAAAGTAGTGTAACATAAAATATTATATAGATGCATAGATATTAGGCAGATAGTGTACATTTCTTTTAACAAATTAATTCTAGTTTAGTGTTTGACATTGTGTAGAACTAATTAAATACGCCTGCATTACATTATTAAGAATTATTGTATATTTTAAATGTATATTCAAATGTTATTACTTATCTACCTAAACAGGGAATTTATAACGCGAAATATATTAACTTAATTATACATAGCGTTACAAATTCCTTTTTTATTACTATTATTAAGTGATGCAGTCAGTTCTAAGCCTGAGAAAAGTATGAAGGAAAGTTTATTTCACCGATTCTGAAAAACTATACCCGCTTAATAGATCTGGGATAATTTCCTTTGACGTAGGGATATAACCACTAACCGTAACCGGTATTGAAACAACGAACCCAAAATACACCCCGACCTTCAAAGTCTTATATAATAAAACATGATAATTTTCAACTAAAAGTGTGGCATAAAATATAAAAGTTTAATTTTATAGCAAATAAATGTTACAATCCTTATTTTTAGGTTTATAGAGCCTAAATTTAAGTGTAATAAATTAAAACAATATATTTGGAGTAAGTAAAAAAAATACTTTGCAAATGCGCCATCTACTCCATTAAGTGATTTTATCGAACAAAAATGGATTAACTCCATAGACTAATATAATGATTAACTCTCACGGTGGTAGGTACGCATTATAGACGTTAGATGGCATAAACACGACACGATTTAATTTAATATTCTATTTCATTAATATCTCGCAAACTAAATGTTATTGTATATATTATATGTCACTTTTTATATTATGACATACTTTAAGAATACTTAGATTACATAAATAATACCATTTATCTATAAATCTATATATGGAAATTCGTTCATAAATCGCGTATCACCATGTGATACTGCGTACTGACATCTATTCAGAACGAAGATATCAACAAATACATAGATATTGAAATATATAGATACAAAATCGGATATTCATATCCAATACATAGGTACGATTTGATATAGGGTAAAAGCGATATTACCCATGCCTACTTGTCAGCCAGCTCTTCTGTCACTTTTGCTATAAATATATCGCCATTTTGGTTGTGTTGCCACATTTATAATAATTTATCAATGGATGAATCGAAATTTGAAAAATAATTTCTTAATTTGGTTATAGATTTGTATGGTTGTACTTTGGCCAGTGTTAATTATTATTAAATTACCCCTCACAATAATAATTTACTTAAAAAAATCTTCACATTTCGAATTGTTTGGGACATTTTGATGTTAGATTGAGCCAGCAGATAGTAGATGACATATCTCATAGTCTCCAAGCACTCACCAAGCTGGCTGTGATGGGCTGGCAAGGTGTGATGCAGATATTTTTCCATAAAATGGAATGTCCGGCGGTATATATTTATGAAAAGCTGTTGATTCTACTACAAATCATTTTAAAAATTTCTATGATGCTCAAATACGATTGGGTTTTGCCGATTCGTAAACTATAACATTTTTCATACATTATTTTTCTTCATCGCCTCTGACTAGGTGTACCGGGACATAAAGCTAAAGAGTATAGTAATTAAATGCAAGGTGGCTGTGATATTAATTATAATAAAAAATATCGTGTTCACCGGAAAGTGTTGAGTCCTACTAGTGTAATATTGGAATCTTAACATAAATAATCGATTACAGAAGTATTCAACATTGAAACAAAAGTATCGATACTGTACTCGATAACAGTAACGTATATTTTTTGTACATTTTACCAATTTTACTTAGAGTAAATTGAAAAAACGAAAGACTAAATGTATATTAACACTTAAAAAAATTGCTGATAACAGAAAATTCAAAATTTAAATATTTCAATAATGTATTTTACGATTTGACATGAACTATCATTTATTTTCAGTAGTTTTTTCTATCGCATTTACCCAAAGCAGTGCACAGAGATTCGCGATCCCATACGTACCGTAGTCGCATGATTTGGGGTTTTCAAGGAAAGAGCTTGCTCCTTTTGAAAACGCTGGTAACTGCACCTGCAATCCCTCTTTTGAAACTTTTTATTCAATTTAAGATTTTTATCTAAAATCAACTTCGGAACCGAACAACCAAAAATCAAGAACCGAAGATAAAATCTGAACTCTTTTTTAAAGAAATTACAATTTCATTTACGATGTTGATTTTATTCCTAAAATCTGCCGCCAAGTTACGTGATAGGTATAGCTTATGTATTACAACCATATAATATATAAAATATTATTATTATTATTATAAAATATTATTATTATAAAATATTATTATGGTTGTAGTACGAATGGTTCGGTTCGACCGGAAATGGAGCACGCTCTCATAGAATACCAGTGTATATAATAGCAGCTTAATGCTGCTGTGTTTCGAAAGGTGAGTATAGAGAACCGGAGATCCTTTTTACTGGAAACGAGGTGATAACGCATCTGCATTTTGATTCTTAATTGAAGATAAATGTAGATGTCTATGGGCCATAGCATCCACTTACCATGACGTTGACTGTGTGCTCGTTTGTCACCCAATTCTATATAAAACGGCCATGGCCTTTAGGCTCTACCTTGCCACTCTGTTGTCATTTTTATACTCTACTCTACACTAGGCACACAAGGGCAATAGAACACTGGTTCTATTGCCCTTTAAACCATAACACAACAACTTCTGTACCTAGCGTTGCTGATTGGCGGTAGAAATAACTAAGCGGATATATAAGAGCCTAGACGGACCCTTACGTTTCTGTTTAGATAGACTAAGTATCATCTAGAAGGTCATTTTGAATTTAGAATTCTACCTCACATATCAAAATATAGATGAAATAATGTACATTTACTTAATTTGATAATGTCTATATCGTATCTCTATTATTATTATTGCATGCCTTAACCGCAAAGCGCGTAGGTAGGTTTTACTAGCGCCTAAAAATCAAGATTCCATCGTTTTGTCGCATGAAATCTTATCTAACAATCATACTGAACAGACTGATATAAAAAGCACGTAGTCAGAAAGATAAATGATTTTTGAACTTACTTAATAGTTTTTTAAATCGATTAATTGCTATTTTTACATAAAGAAAGTGGTTTTAGTTTAACTTACGCACGATAACTTTTGAAACTATCAATTGTTTAACTCAATCTATTTTTTAATCTCTTTATCTATCATGTGGGAAGCCATGAAATGTAAATGGCAGTTTAATTTTCTTTTGTTTGGTTATAATTAATTTTTTGGCGTAAAAATCCAGAACATTTCAGTGTTTTGAGCAGCCTTGTAATAATTAATTTTATTAAATAAACTGCCTCACTCACTCACTTCAGCCACTTCGGCCTCAGCCGCCGTCGTAAGTGGATACTGTATCGGTTGTTTACAGCGGCTTAAAAAGATTGCTGTACAAATACAAAATATTCGAAAAACCAAATTTGATACATACTTGATTATTATAATAATCACAGATTTTTATTACAATATTTTAAAAGCACAGAATAAATAACAATACTACGTACTAAAAGTAAGTAGGATGTATATATTTAAATATATTTATACTTAAACACATCTTGGACTTTATGGAGTGATCTGAATGATAATATGATGATCATATGATCATTATGAGGTGTGCACTTTTGGATTTTCCCCTTTTTTAATTGAAGTTTAACATAAAATTATTGGAAAATTGGAAGTATAATAATAAAGGTTGTTAGTTAAAAGTTGTGTGTATTTAAATTACTTTAAAAATATCCGCATAATCATGTTATACGTAATTTTTTAATGCGCATAGGGAATGCACAATTGGATTTACCAATAGTTTATTTAATCAGGCATGCCTCTGTATACAAATTTGCTGACGACACATGTATTATCACTGCTCACAGGGATCCACGTACTGCTGAGAAGCAAACTGAGTTTAACCTATAACATATCAATCGGCACATGACATTAGTTTAACAATCAATTATCAAATAAACTAAACTCATGCACATTCATTCAACGTTCTTAAAAACACAAGGAACAAAAAAAATCGTGGCTCATGAACACCAGTGTATGCATCGGCGGTTCTGCAGTCTCTGCCGAAAGTTTTAAGATTGATCATAAATTTTACTGGGGCCTCTGTGTGCACTAAGCTGAGAGCTATTATAGCAAAATTTAAAATTATTTAAAGTAGTTTAATACTTTAAATAATTACGTATATTCATTATACGTATTTTTTTTAATGCGCTTAGGGCATGTACAATTGGATTTACCAATAGTTTTTTTTTATGATTGCGGTTATATAGTGTAATATTTTTTCTATGAATTTATCAACGGTGGAGTTTATGCAACACTGCTCCATTATTGTGTATAATTGCACCGTATGACGATTTCTTTCTAGTTAAATATGAGAAATATTATGACATCTGCGTAAGATACCCATATTAATGTTGTTTGTTTTTTATATATAGTGTATACGGTCTACACTGTTGATAGATAGATGAGGGTCCGGCGAGCGGCGACTAAATAACAGCGGAAAATTTATCTAAAACTATATTAACATAAAATATATGAGATCTCTCGCATATTACCCGGGGTAGGCAAAAACTACGGACTTCCATTTGGCACGATCCTGACACATTTCTTTTGCTTTCTTCACAGCCATAAATGTACAAACCATGTAGTGGCGGAGTAAGCAGCGTCTTCCTAATAACTAATAAAAAAAACTGCGGTTGCCAACCAGCTTGACAAGCGTGGCAACTATGGCAAATATCGCCCCTATGCGGTAATCTATGAGGGAGGCCTATCTTCAGCAATGGACTTTAATAAGGTGAGGGGAAGGTAGACTTACTAAAGCCAAGTATCGCTTACCGGTCAGCCTAGTGCGGTGAGCGCGGGAAAATCTTTCAAGTAATGTTTAGCATCTAGACATTCTTTGAAAACTGTGGATGATGATGATAATTCTGTAATTAGTATAGCTGTCTCACCGCAAGTTCGATCTCAAGTAGACCACTGAAATCATTTGTTCAAATTTTAACCGCTGCTTGAACATAAAATTGCACCACGTTAGGAAAAAATAATGACGTCAAATGTCTATTAGATTATCTTAAAATAATCTAATAATATATAGTTTTAGTATGATGATCGTTAACAATTAAATATATTTGGAAGCCGTCTAGTTAAGCTTAACTTAACAGCCTGCTAAACTTTATCGCGATGATTTCTAACTTTGTATTTTTATAACATATCGCATTATTAAATGGAATTATGTCTATTACTATTTTACTACGGTGTTGTTCAATTAGATCGTTCTACCATACCCTATGAAAATATAAATTTTTTGTGATCTCAATGTGTTCCAGAGTGTTAGCGAGTTAGTAGAAAAGTTAATCACATAGGTTAATTACGCGTTCTCTGAATGAACAAGGCTTTGAGCACAGATAATTATACTGACTGACTACTTATAAAAAATTTGGGATATCTACACAATAATCATTATTATCACAGTCTATCAAAGTCCACTTCTGAACATAGGTCTCCCCTAGGGTTGCAACCCGTACTGTAATATATCGTACTATATTTCAGTCAATTGTACTATATATTATATAAAAATAATATAGTACGAAAAATACTATATTTTTCCCCTAATTCAAATGTCGCGATTTTTTATAGTAACTGTGACTGGAAGTCTGGGACAAGTAAGTTTTACGGAAATAATTTTTCCGTCATGAATGTTAAATAGAAAGAAAAAAGAAATAGATAATAAATTTAATAAAAAGGAATTGTTAATTTATTTTAATATGAATCTAAATTGCTTATATTCCTATAACTATTTTAAAGGTTGATGGCCAAAGCGAAGAGCAATAACAAATTTATATGGTAAAATGCATAGAGATTAAAAATAAATGTTTACCTTTTTTCTTGAATTTCCCAAAAGTACTCTTTTGTTCCTTTTTTTAGCAATTTTTTTTTATAGGATAGGGTGATAAACGAGCACACAGTCCACCTGATGGTAAGTGGTTGTTGTGGCCCATAGACATCTACATCTATTCTTGTTTGCAAATCAAAATGCAAATGCGTTGTCAGCCGTGAGGGCTAAGATGGAATGCCTCTTTTTGAAGAAAAAAGGTGGCAATCCTAGTCTCCCTATAGATTGCCTCAAAATCAAAATTTGCCATATTTGCCACGCTTGGCAGGCAAGTTTGGCAACTACAGTTTTTTTATTATTTTGAGCTATTATCTATCAGAAATATGCTGCTGCCCATCTCTTGTTTAACAATCCTCTGTCACTGCCACCGCACTTTTTATTTTCTAGTTTATATTAGGAAGATACCGCTACGCATCTCCTGGCTAGTTGTACTCTGTCGCCTCTTGCGATATCCATAATATGTTGTATTGACTATTCCTAGACCGCTATTACACGGTAAATACTCAAATAAAATATAACATAAAAGAAATAAAACCCAAACAAAACGCATTGATCATGAGCCGTAATGATTCTATTTAGAATACTAGACCATGGTCAAGAAATTGTCATGTCTGACATTGTCGTGTCTGTTAAATTATAGATCAATCAAAGTGCGCAAGTGGGTAAAAACGGAATTAAAAAATGTCAGTATATTTTTATTTGCCATAGTTGCCACGCTTAGTAGGCGCAGTTTTTTATTATTATTTTGAAATATTATCAAGAAGACGATGCTGCCCATCTCCCGTTTTATTTCACTCTATCGCCGCTTACGACATGTAAGAGATGATATGGAGTAGTGGATCCCTTTATACCGTCACTGCACAGCATTTTCACTATATGTTCAATGGTATTTTTTTATATTTTTCTGCCGACTTCCAAAAAGGAGACGGTACTCAATTCGACTGTATGTTTTTTTTTAATGTGTGCTACCTCATAACTTTTTACTAGGTGAACCGATTTCGGTGATTCTTTTTTTATATGAAAGCTGATACTTCTAGTGTGGTCCCATATGAATTTGATTAAGGTCAGACCAATAGTTTTTGAGTTATTCTTAATAACTTATTTGAAGTCGGTTGTACAAAATTTTTAATTTTTAATTATACAGACATTGTATTGGGACCAGAACTATGGTATGCAATTTTAATTTAAATACAGCAAAGAATTTTCGGAGCGAAACATGAGCCGGTGTTGTTCTTTTTAGAAGATATCTGTCACAAATCTGTTCAATTCAAAGACTTATTATTTGCGAAGAACTTTTATAGCAATTTTTAAAAAGGCAAAGGAATGGTAAGAGAATTTTTATAAATTTTCAAAGTTCGTCGATTCAATAAAATAAATTGTATCTATATTTTAGCAAACATATATATACAAATCTCGCAGGAACACTATACGATGTCTAAAATAAACTATGTTTTTATATTATCCTATCACAAAAATGTACATAAATTAAAGTAATACAAACATAAAAGCCATAATAAACCTAAATGAACAGTTAATATCTGCGAATGATTCCTTTGTTCTTGGGCTCTTTCGTCTTTCTGGTTGAAAGCTGGATCTTTCCAACGGGCTTTCATTTCTTTCGACCCTGACAACTTCCCATATCTGAACTCGGCGCATTGCACCGTAACCATTGGTGGTACACCTTGATAAATAAGTCTCGAACTTCGCCTTTTCAATGATGACGAACCTCTCATTTCTTCAATTTCCCGTCCGTTGATATACCATCGTATTTCAGCATCAGGCGCTCCACGACAGTACGCTTGAATGTCTTCTTCATCTCCGTATTCATCAGCCAGCCCTTCCAACAACGGTCTTCTGTGCTCGTGTCCGTGAACTTCCATGTAAGCAGTACGCGTTTCAAACTTGTATGGTGGAACGTCGCGTTCGATGTCACACCTGTACAATCCTGTCGCTTCTTCAGTTAAAGCGCCTAATTTGAGTCGGCAAGCGGTGGGTCCACATGTCACCAGCTCGACTCTTCCAACTCCTAGTATTGGGAAGGAGCGCGTACTAGGCGCCGCACCTGGTTTGTATCTGAAGAACTCGTTGGGACCTTTAAACCAGTTGAGGATCGTGAAATTGGCGTCATACCGGCATTCTATTTCGACTTCGGCTTGCCCAGGTGGCACAACTTCGGGTACGATGAGATGGGTGATGTTGAATGGGCGCGAGTTTACTCCTGTCGCGATGAAGAGGAGAGCGAGCACCAGCATGGTGTAGGGACGCGCGCGCACGCCGCACTGCGCGCTCCCGATGTGACGCCGACGCCGCACTTAATTAAACGCTTTATTAAAGTCCAACAACTCCAACACTTAACCGTTCCCTGGCCCTATGGGTGCGACACGGAATTTTTTTCGTTAATCCTAATTGAAAGACAAACTTTTAATTGGGTAGGGGTTGTTAGTAATTTGCTCGGGGTGCCATTATTACGATAATAATATTGTAAATTGGATTTTATAGTGGAACGAAAATTTAAAAATGGTGGTTATAAAACACAAAATAAAAATTATCGTTTTGTTAATTTCATTGATTACTCAAATTTAATTCAATCTTTTTATTATTAAATTTAATTTTTATTTTTCAGTTTGAGTGAAACGGGTTGATTTTTGAGTATACTTGCAGAATCACACTCAGTGGTAGCAAAATCATTCACTTCAATATTCTTACCACATTGATTCCCCCTTTCTAAATAGCATTTGTGTAACACGAATAAGTTAGGTTACGATAAGGCTGACATATCCTTGTAGGATAAAAGCCTTTTTAAATAAAGATAGATAATAAAAAAAATATTAATTATATAAATTATATAATAAAAATAGAGAAAAAACTTTGATTTTAAAAAGTCTTAGAAATTTATTTTTTCATAATTTTCAAAACTGTTCATTATCTGTTTGATAGGTATCGCTTTTACAATTAAGTCCAAGATAGAAAATGTCTCTTTACCAATCACCAAGAACAATGGTTATTAAAATATTAACGAATGTTTTAACGACCATTTTTATGACATGGCTTGGGTTTAGGTCGTCCGAAGCCACTCGTGAAGAAAATGGCGCCTCCTTACTACCTATGTTCGTAATTATTCTTCCACAAAATGCCACCCCCTAAAATTTCTCGCTCGTAGCAATGTTTCGATTATAAGCCGATGTCTTTTACATATTATTATTATTTTATTATGTTAAGTTAAAGTTACAGCCTATATACGTCCCACTACTGGGCACAGGCCTCCTCTCATTTCCGAGATTAGGGCAAGAAAATGTCCACCACGCTGCACCAATGCGTGTTGGCGAACTTCACATGTCTTCGAAATATTTTTATTATTTTTCAGAGATGCAGATTTCCTCACGACGTTTTCCTTCGCCGCCGAGCACGTGGTAAATCAGCATTTAAAATTGCAATTAACTATTTCATTGGTGCCGGCAGGGATCGAACCCGGGTTGCTCGCGTACTGTGACATTTACAGCGAGCACTTAGCCCCTAAGCTACCAGGGCTCCAACCATCCATCTTTATTATGTATAGGCTACAAAATATTATTAGATATAATGAAAAAACATAACGCAGTTGCCGAGTGATTACATAATACAGTTTCACAATACGAACTTTTGGTATGACTCATCGACTTTTTACCTGAAATATACATACTCACGTGAGTCAATGTGGACTGTGACATTCATATTATGAAATATTGAAACATAAACATAAATATTATGAAAATTTATGAAATGTCCGTTAATTTTGTTATGTAATTAATATAAATATATTTGTGTAATATGTTATTAGTAATGACAAAAGAGGTAGAAAGCCTAAGTTTACCCAGTGATTTTGGGTAAAGTCCAAATAAATTATAGATAATATCAGTAATGACCAGAGTTTTCGCGTGGCCCAAGGGCAATATACAAAAGTTATAGTTTTTTTTTATAGGATAAGAGTGACAAACGAGCATACAGTCCACCTGATGGTAAGTGGTTGCTGTGGCCCATAGACATCTACATCTATCTTCGATTACGAATCAAAATGCAGATGCGTTGTCACCCGTGAGAACTAAGATGGTATGCCTCGTTTCCAGTAAAAAGGGGTCTACGGGTCTCTACACTCACCATACGAAACACAGCAGCGTTAAGCTGCTATTTTACGCTGGTATTCTGTGAGAGCGTGGTCCTTCCCTAGGACCACGCTCTGTAGGACTAGGAGGAGGACAGAGACAAAAACACAGAGTCGTATACTATAACTAATATATTAAGAAAAAAATAGCAAACAAGCTTTGCCAATAATTAGGAACACTTTGAAAAATTAACTTGAAAAAAATTTACTACACTACACAATACTAAAATCTACTAAAATATTTATTATAATGTCGACTGTCAAAATTGCGTCGATAAAGCCTTTTGATCCTTTATTATTTGATTGAGTGATGAATATATATCGTATAACATAGCCGTCCATGCAAACAAGGCTGTAGTCTTTGAGTTATAAGAAAGTGACCATAATAACCGGATGACCATACTACCCTCACGTACGGTTTTGTAACTCGAGCTGAAAGGTTTCGGGACTTTGGAACAGAGCACGAGGGGGACGGAGCGTTGACTTCATTAGACGAGACCTCTCCAACTTAACGTTTAGGTTCAGTGTGCCTCTAACCATTCGGTGATCGCTACCAGTTTTCACCCCCGCGATCACGGAGACATCACTGAACAGTTGTCGTCTGGGCGTCATAATGAAGTCAATCTCATTTTTTGTGGAACCGTCGGGAATCCTGTAACTTAGAGTCCGAAATTTTTTAATCGGTTCACTCGGTACGGTCGTTTGAATTTTTTTTAAGTGAGTTTGAAGCATGCCTCATATTGCATTATAACGCTCTTCCAAAAAAAACGAGATCTCTATAAATGAGGTAATATTTCTTAAATTGTTGCATACTTCTGTTAAGTATGAGTGAGTTTTTTTTATTTATCAAAAGCCCGTGCTTGAAGTTTATGTAAAATCAAATGGACTATTGTCCGGATGTATCTAATGATCCCGTGCGCAGTGACGGGTTGAAGGTGGCGGCACTAACAGCTTATTGTACGAATTACGTACGAATGTGTCATTCCATTTTGCAGATTACTATGTATCCTTGATTCTTTTATTTAAGGGATTGAAAATTTGATGAATCGGGATATAAAACTTAAATTTTAAACTAGTGGCCCCGCACGGCTTTGCTTTGGGTAAAAAAAAAGGAATTTCAAAGGAAGCGGATAAAATATCCAATATAATTTCTTATTTAAAATAATACGAACAAAAAAAATAGCAATATAATATATGTTACAATTATAATATACTAAAAAATATTTAATTTATATGCATTTTATAAAAAACTTCTCAGAAATGGGAGGAGGCCTGTGGCCAGCAGTGGGACGTATATAGGCTGGCTATGTATGTATTTTATATTTACTTTACTTTTATGAAAACTGAAGTTACTTTGCTGATCAGCTTATGCTAATGAAAATCAGTCATACGGTAAATTTTTCGCAAACTCGATTTTTACAAATACATTTTTTTATACATATACAATTAGAGGACAAACATATAATATTAATTCTATGGGAACAAACAAACTCATAGTTCACCTTAAATACACCTTAATTATAAGTTTATGACGTGGTAGAGCCAGGTTGCAGCTATATTACTGTATAGTTGTAGTTCTTTTAACTATTATTTATTACGTGGTTGTAGCACGAATGGGTCGGCTCGACCGCGGAAGAACCAGGTTCTCACAGAATACCATCGTAAAATAGTAGCTTAACGCTGTTGTATTTCCTATAGTGAGTATAGAGAACTGGAGACCCTTTTTACTGGAGAAGAGGCATCCCATCTTAGCCCTCACGGCTGACGACGCAAATAGACGTAGATGTCTATGGGCCACAGCAACCACTTACCATCAGGTGGACTGTATGCTCGTTTGTCATCCTTAACCTATAAAATCATCTTATGGTAAATGGATGCTCTGGCCCATATACACATTATATATACATTTATCCCTCATTAAGATACATGTAGAGGCGTTTTCAACCCTGAGGACTAATATGGAACGCTTCGTTTCCAGTAAAAAGGGTCTTCGATTTTCTACACTCATTATTCGAAACACGGCAAAGTTAAACTGCTATTTCACTCTGGCATTCTGTGAGAGCGTGGTCTGCTCCGGTCAAGTTGACCCATTGGTGCTGCAACCATAATATAGCAGTAGCATGGCTCTACCACATAGAGCTAAAAAGTAATATTTTCATAAAATATGAAACGGAGACACATAGATACGTGTCTGCGTATCTGTATATCTGTGTGTCTGTCTGTGGTATCTTAGCTCCTGAACGGATGAATAGGTTTTGATTAAGTTTCTTTCCTTTGAAAGGTGTCTTAAGGCGTTTCCCCGACCAAATAACCTTGAGTATGCAGTGCACTGCCGCCTGCACTCTGCGTACGCGCATTTATCATAGAATTCACACAATTTTTGGAATTAATTTTAATTAAAAAAGAAAAGCGAACTTTAAAAATTAAATAACACGTAAATAATATAGATTTTCAAATTATCTATCCATTAGTGTAATTCTCAAATGATTAGAGCGTTGCCTTTAGCTACAGAGGCATGTAATCAATAATTCTAGTAATTTTTTAAAAGTGACCGACCGAAAGCGAAACGAAGAGATTCGCAATATGGCAGGTTTGAAAGATGACCTTATCACAAAAATTGATAAGGGCGTGCTTCGGTGGTTTGGGCACGTTGAGCGAATGAGTGAAGACCGAATGGTGAAGAAAATATATAGCGCGAAAGTTAATATTAAAAGGTGTCGAGGTAGACCGAGACTAACTTTCGAAGACCATGTGAGCAAATTGCTCGAAGAGGGTAGGGTCAAGAGTACTCGGATACCTAGACGTGCATGTATGAAGAAGATAATGAATCTGAAAGAAGCGAAAGAGATATGTAAGGATCGTGACACTTGGCGATCTGTTCTCTCTGGCTACCCCGTCAGGGATTGTGCGTGATTTTTAAAAGTAAATTTTAAATGTATTTATAACACATAAAAATAAATTAAAACGTGGAATGTGATGATAGGATATCGAACATTAATAATGTGCTTTCAGATGTAGTTTATTTCTCATAACTAATGAGATAATTCTCTGAATAACGAAGAAAAACGCACCGTCACAAGGTTTTGGTCGGGGTATCGCTTTAATCGAGAGTGT